TACTATATACTATTTGAAAGAAAGCATATTAAATAATGACATCTTTTTTATATAAAGCTACTTATTATTTACAGAATAATCAAAATCAAGTCAAGTTTTATCAAAATTCATGGATATAAGCTAGACTGCCAAATGACATGCTTGGACAAATTTTACAATTTCAAAGGTCATTGGACAGGTAATAGAAGTATCACAAATCAACTGAAATAAAATAAAATAATAAATGGTTACTAATTATAGTCATTAATGTACATTGGAATATGTTACCTGGTGACAAGTTTGTCATTGATGCAGTTCATATTACAAGGAGTTGCCACAATGGCTGACATACTTTTATGGCAATATTCAACACATTCAGTGACCTTAGAAGCAAATGAAGTTGTCAAAAAACGATTTTTAACAATCATTGAACAAAATTACAGCAAAATCCAGAATGGAAAATGAAAAAATTATGAACATATGAGCAAATACTACATAAATGAAAAAAATAGCAATATTGAAAAATTAGCAAATAAAATTAAGTGATAGAACGAAAAAGCAAGCAAATAAACAAAATGAGCAAATTAACAAGTAAACAAATGAAAGAACAAAAAAATGGAAAAATGGAAAAATGAACAAAGGATCAAATGAGAAAATTAGCAAATGAAAAAATGAACAAACGAAAGAACACACACATAAAAAAAACAACAAAGGAACAAATGATCAAATGAAGAAATAATTAATTGACTGGTACAAGATGATGGGCAGATTCAACCAAATATATCAAATTGAAGAGATCAGGATAATGCATAAATAAAGGAAGGGATATATGAAACAGTACTATCAATTAATCATTAATTCAAAAATCTCAGTCAAAAATCTCAGTCTACTGTACATCAAATAGAGCGGATTTTGTATGACTGTGCAAAAAACAGGATATTTTTATGCTGTGACCGTACCGTGCAGTTGCTGTGATGCATTGAAAAATCTTTATTTTCATTTGGAATCCTAGAAGGCGAGGTTCCGCGACAGTGYCGTGCYGTGTCCGTKTTGTGACTCCRTGCCTTTGCACAGTCATACGAAATCTGCTCTAAGTCATATCTATAGCTTACCAAACTGTCCATTTTAAGAAAATCAGAGGAAATCAGTATTGAGATGACATTGTTTGGCTCTGAGGAAAAAAAAGTGTGCTAAACAATCATYRTCACCTCATGTSTAGTGAACTCACATCTGAAATTCCTTACTTGACCTGAGCCTTATAAATGATTAAAACTCCTACCTAATTGAGGCTGTGTCTTCTCTTTGCCTTTTTCTCCAATACCCTTTTTAACATATCTCATCAGCCAGTCAAATATTTGGATATCACAATGAACAGAAATGTCAACTTCTTCCCATCTCTGTGCCTCTACTGATAAATACTCTGCAAAGTAGCGCATCTCTCTAATAAGTAGGTCTCTTGGGCAGTTGAAGTCTTGTTTTACTACAAGAGATAAATCAGTACGATTTAATTTGCTAAAGAGTAGTTAAACAGACTGGAAGAGCTGAGCAGAGATTGGGGAAGAGGAGGACTGGGAATGCTCAGTAGCAATCTCCTCTCAGCCCTCCCCAGTCCCATTTAGGGCTAAGCTACACAATGTTAAAAATAAATCTCTTGCACTGTGACAACTGACTTTTCGTTTTGTTTCTGTAATAAGTACATTATTGATTAACATGCCTCTTCAAAATTGTTGCAGTGATTTGCAGGATCTAAAAAAGTGGAAGGTACATGTATAAAATTGAAAAGGAATTTTTGGAAGAAACTTACAGTTTTTGCTTTCATCACAGACATGGATCACCATATTTGGACTGTCAAGACAAAACAGGGGAAAAAAATAAAACAACAACAACAACAAGGGAATATGGATGTAAAAGGATATGTGGTTGAATGGATGAACAGAATGAATAAATGGGACAAACAATGGGTATAGAGCTGTAGGTCCTCATCTCAAAAATATTCATAAATCAATCAAATACTATGATTTTCCAAGGTAACTATTAAATAAACTACTATGCATCTCGTACAGTATAACACCTAGTGATATATGGGTTGCTGTATCTTGGGAAGTTGGAAGAATTCACAGTAAAGCAAACTTAGTTCCGTACCCTTGTGACATAACAGATTCTCTTCCAGATGACTGAGTCTTTTGAGGAAAGAACTGCTTTGAATGTGTTTTCTGCTATAAGAATTAATTAAAACAAACAATCAAACTGTCAACAAAAACCAATACATTATACAGAGTTGGCTGCTTTCATACAGTCATAACCACAGTGTATTTACAGTATCAATAAACACTGTTTACCTGGTCTGGACTTGAGATGCCTTGACCTTTCATTAAGCTGTGCAAGGTAGCAACACAATTAGGGAAAAGATGAACGCATTGAAAGAAAGAAAAACTCTTAATATGTGGGGTAGAGAAACTAATTAACACATAATGTACATGCTAATATACTAAATTTATACGTAATATATACAATAT